AAAACACCCGCAGGCACAGGCCGGGGGCGGCTGGCAATCGCGGCGTGCCGCTTGGAGCGGCGTCCTCCCCCCCAGCGTGTGCACTTCAGTCCCAGGGATGCGAGGCAGAGGCCCATGGCAGCCAGGACGCAGCACAGCACCATGGTGGTGCGTGCAGTCTGCAGGTATGCAGGCAGTGAAAGCACTGAATATTTGAGTGTGCAGCTGAACATGCCGGTGCTGTACCATGTGCAGTCCATCCACAGTCCCTGCATCTGAGAGATGGCCGTGATGATGTTGGAGCCCACGTCTGCGCTGACCTTCCAGTTGGGCAGCACCGTGGCCACCATGGCCCCCATGATTCCCAGAATTGCCAGAACAAATCCAAAGATCTGCATGCCTGTGGATGCCATACTCCTCTTTTTTTTTAAAGGTGCGGCTGCTGCTGCTGCTGCTGCTGCTGCTGCTGCTGCTGCTGCTGCGGCGCCACCTCAGCCCTCGTCCTCGTCGCCTGGCAGCATTCACCCAGTGCCAGCCAGGCTCGTCGACCCCACTGTCCAGTCGCCTCGTCTCTCTCCTCCCTCTGTGGCGTACCAGCTGCCAGTCAAATCCCCGACTCCTCCGTCTTTGAGCTACAGCTTCACTGGACTGGAGGAGAGTGGTGGGAAGCAGAGATTGAAGCGAGAGACCCCCCTCTTTGCAGTCTCTCCTTCTCCCCTCTCATTCACCTCACTTTTTCTGACTGGAAACAAAGGAAAGCACGAATCAGGAGAGATAAGAGCTGGCTTTTGGCAGACTGTGGGTAATAAAAAAAACAAACAAAAAAAAAACACTGAGGCTGGTGGTGCATGTGTGCATTTCTACGCTTCCTTCCTTCTTTACATCCACTCAGAGCCTCGTTGAGCTGTTACTAGAGAGAAGAAATGAGTTTGTGGTATTTTCACAGCTTTAAAGCTGCAGCAGCCACTCTCCACTGATCCACTGTACAATGAAGCACTTTCATTTTAAAGGTATTTTTACCTGTGAACGCAGCCCTCCCTCTAAACAACCACACTCGGTTGCAATAGGTCAAACACGTTGTTCTAATCGCATCCGCTTTCGAATAACTTGTTATTTTTTGCGATTATTATCAACATTATTGTCGGACTTTTACCGATAACGCATTCTTTCTTTGCCTCTCGTCTTAACTTCAACAAACGCGGTGACGAACGTGGATAAACAAACCCTCCAAACTCGTTTAAATTGTTTGTTGTTTACTTGTTGTTGTTTTTTGGGTTGTTTTTTTTTTTTGGTCCGGTTAATAGAGAAGCGATGTGGAAATACATTCTCACCCCGGCTGCTGCTGCTGCAGAGCCGCCGCTGACGCGTCACGCTGTTCGCGCTGATTCCTGTAAACACACACAGTGACACAGTGAAAGACAACAACTGCAGCGGCGGCGGCGGCGGCAGCGGCAGGAGGAGGCAGGTGACCGGTCGATGGGCAGAAATCAGTCCGGACCACGGATCCATTCAGTCCGTCCATTGTTTAAGTAACAGCCCAGAGAAGAAGACATCCCTGCTGCTCCACAGACCACACAGACTGAGGAGAGGCACGGGCAGAGGAGCTCTCTCTCTCCCTCTCTCTCTCTCCCTCTCCCCCTCCCTCTCTTTCGTCCCTCTTTGTGTTTTGCTCTTTTTTTTTTTTTTTTTTGCCCCACAACTCCACCTTCACCATACAGAAATCAGGGCCCACCAAGGCAGAACACGCACAGAATTTCAAAAACAAACGGCAACATTAAAACCTAATTTTCCCCTGGACATTTTATTGGTTGGTCTGAAGTCTGTTGCTGTGTGTGGTTATCTGCCTTCATTGTAGTGTTGTTATTTGTCTGTGTTATATATATATATATATATTTGGTAATTAGAGGTAGGGCAGTTAAGCATTGGCAACACCAAGGCAGACAGGGAAACGGTGTTTACGATAAAAAATATTTTTGTTTTGTGAAAAATGGCAAATTTCAATAGAGCTTTTGAAAATATAAGCACTGCACATAGGCATGACTGTCTATGATGTGGTTAACGGTACTGTTTACCGACCTCTGGTGTGAATGGTTGTTGGTCTGTTGGTCAAAAATTAGCATTAATTACAGGATATGGTTGTTGGTTCTAGCCCTGAAGTTAACAGTGTAACTGAGATTTAATTGTTTGTTTTTTACCTTTAACATTTTATTTGCTTTAAATATAAATAGGGTTTCATTCCTTTTACTAAACTTGGTGGAAGTTCTCCTTGTTTTTGTTTTGTTTAAATATGACATTTAGATTTGATGCTTGTTTTTCTGCTTCATTTTACCACTAATATATATGGCATTGTGTTTTAATATTTTACTGTGTACTACAAACTAAACTAATGGAAAATCTCTTCCTGTGACTATCAGTTTCCAGGATCATAATCCAGTACCAGGGCTGTTTGAAAAATAATAAAAAAAAAAACATAATAAAGATGTAAAGTCAGATAAGAAATCCAAACATAGCTCACTGTGAAACAGGGCTGGAGCGGGGGTAATCTAATTGCCACAGTGGAGGAAGATGAAGATGAAGATGACCAGATATTGGTCTACAATGATGTTTATGTATCCACCTCGGTGCGGAGGAAATCTACGCATCCCACAGTGTCAAAATTGACCCTAACCATGAGGCATGAGGCCCGTCAGGCGTCACTCGGCAGGAGGCTAAACTCACAGCTGCTACTCTATCGCTGCCCATCTTCTCTCTCCTCCAAAGGACATCGAAAACAAGGGAGGGAGTGGCTTTGGTGGCCTTGATTCGTGAATGATAAAAAGGACAAAAAAAACAAAACGAGTGAGGTGGGGGGTTGGGGAGGGTTATTGGTACTGGACCAGCAGAACTCGTGACCTTGGAAACACAGATGTGTTTTTGCAAATCAGCAAAAACAGCCAGCTGTGGCAGAATGAGATTGCCCGCCTTTCCACTATAGCGGTGTGATGCCCAGGCACTGACCACAGTGATGTGCAGCTATTGCGTGTACCTAGACTGGTAGCAATTGATTTGTTCAGCTATTGATCAGTTTGTTTATGTTGCTCCAGCTTCCATTGTTTTCCCCACGAACTACCCCTCGAGAGAGAGAACGCCGCCTTAAAATGAGACGTGGACCAGTGCAGTGCAGTGTAGTGCAGTGGTGTTTGGTGTCGACCTTCAACACTACATTCTGAGTGCTTCTCCAGGGATCACACTTGGAGCATGAAAATTCCAGTATTCTGTTAACACATGACGGTGTTGCGTGCGTGACCTACCTCTTTGTAGCCAATGAGATCTTAAGTGCAGACGCCAGTGTTGTTCTGCAGGGAGTCGGATAAATAAATAAATAGAATAAGGAGCAAATAGATGAAAGGAAGATGTGGGGGGGAAAGAGGTGGAAGGAGAAAAGAGAAAAATGCAGTCACCATAATGTGGGGTGTGGATGTGTGACGCTGTGATGTGTGAAAATATTGCCGCCCATTCTCAGTGAGATTTCCCCCTGTTTTTTATCACCCGGCAGCAGCAGCGCTCTCCGGTCTTTCTGCAGCGTTTGTCTGAGGCGCAGTCGGACCAACCGCGTTCTCCTTTGCCCACATTAGTGTCTTTTATCATTCAATTTGCATTTTTCTCTTTTATGTCCCGCATGGCTTAATTGGTTTTTTTCACGCCCGTCATACAGCGAAGGCAGTTTGTTCCCAGCAGCCAAATGTGGTGTCATGTCATGGCAGCCATGCTGCTGTCATTGCAATCTTCCTCCAGAACACGTCTCAGGTCCAGTTTTATCAAACATAAAAGATGTAAAGCTGTCCAAAGCAAAAGTCACGTGACTCGAGGAGAATTTACGGGGCTTGATGGATGGGTCTGTCAACATTCGCCTGTGAACAACATGTAATGGAATTTTATGAGTTCTAAAATAGCTCATCAAAACATTTTTTTCCCATGTGGCCGTGTTTGCTGTTCCGCTGTTCCCAGCAAATGTCATTTTGGGGCCTTTTTTTTTTTTTCCTCCCCAAAGTATTTCTGTGACGAACGCATCTCTCCAAGGAGCTGATCCTGTCAGAGGCCGGGGCTGCAGCTTTCAACGTCCTGTGCATGCTGTGGGCAATTTCTGTAGGAAGTATGCCAAAGCTTTTACTTCCTAAACCCCTTGAGCATCAAAGGCCTCGTACATTCAGTGGCATCCACTGCTGCCTTTCCTTCTGAGTGGGCTTTCTGCCTCTGCTGATGTGTCTTCTCAAGGTATTGTCATATTTAATGCAACTCTTCCCTCGTTGGAAGCGGGAGATCTCTGAGCTTTTCTCTCCTGCTTCCACT